AAGAAAGAAAGAAAGAAAGAAAGAAAGAAAGAAAGAAAGAAAGAAAGAAAGAAAGAAAAGAAAGAAAAGAAAGAAAGAAAGAAAGAAAGAAAGAAAGAAAGAAAGAAAGAAAGAAAGAAAGAAAGAAAGAAAGAAAGAAAAGAAGAAAAGACCACTCAGCTGATTTCAGGAGGTTTTAAACAGAGGTTTGGGAGAGCAGTGGCTGAAAGGAGATGGGTTTGTGTAGGAAAGGAGGATTGATTTTGGTCTTGAAAGAACCATTCTGGCTAATATTTATAATGTAGTGGAACCAACTCAAATTGAAATCATGCAGATTTGGTTATGAAATCTGGCCCTGGCTCACCATAACTCTGTAACCATGGCAAGTTTGGAACAACAGGAAGTGTGAATAAATTCTATGTCTTTGTAAACTAAGGGTGATGCTATTTTTCTTGTCTACCTTTCTGGGCTCTTTTCTGAGGATCAGATGAAACCATGTATGTGAAAATACAATGAAGAATGTAATGCTAATACAAGGTGGGTGAGGGACTACTATAGTATTTCCACCTGCTCCTCTTTGTTGATATGATCCAGTAACATCATGTGAGAAAATATTTAAGCAGTAACCTACGACATATTTATATAGCAAATAAATTTTTTAAAAGAGCCATTTTATTGTTATAATTAAAGTAGACTTTTGAAGACTGAAAACTCTCCAAAGCCAAAGAAGGTGAGATTTAGAAATCCTGACAGGTAGACAGGGTGTGGTTTCTATTGAGATGGAAAGATAGAGGGTTCAGAGGAAGTACCACAGTGTTGTATAGGCTACTTTGCATTTCTCCTGTGGTCTCTGCCCTGGGGGACCCCTCCACTTTGAGGAAGGTGGAGTGATTTAAAATGCATCCACTTTAGTGTGTCAAGAGGAAGCAAGCTTTGGCTGACCCTGCAACTGGCTAATGGGAAAAGAAGTCTGTCACCAGCCTATATTCTTTACCATGCGGAATTTATTGAGAAAGAAAAGAATGTTGAGAGGTTGGGTAAAGGAAGGCAGATGACAGAGAAGAATGACTAGTAGGGCATGGATAGGAGGAAAGGTGAGGGGTTTGAACATCCTGTCTGACACTCAGGCGGAGGCAGATGTGATTAGTTACTGACTGGGGGAGAAACTAAAAATAAATGGAGCCCAGTAAGGTAATGGAGAATTTTTGCTGCCTGCGTCAGAGCGGGAGACAAGGGCACAGGCTTCTAGGTCTTGTTGCAGAAAGATTGGTTCCGACAGCATATAATTTGCATCCTGGTTCCATGGGAGAAGAGGTTCATTGATGGGCACATGTTCTCACACCCCTGAACCATGAATTGGAGTTTTCCACCTGAAAGAAGCAGAGATAGACTATAGTGAGCAGAAGGCTTCCTCCTCCCACCTTAGCCTTCGTTCATGGTCCTCAGTGTCCCCATACAGGCACAACCAAGACCTCCAACTTGTATATTCTTCCTCCCCCTCTCCTTTCATCTGTCTTTTCTGGGCCCTTCCCCACATCTGTCCCCCATTGCCTGTATTGAGGGACTAGACAAACCACAAGGGAAATCAGGCAGTGTGGTTCACAGGATGGCAGTAACCAAGATCCTTTATTTTGGTGACGAGGAGTGAGTATAAGGGTAGAGAGGTATGAGAATATACCAAGACTGATCTGGCAACCTGTGAACACTGACTGATAGACAATTGTTTATTCATTTATTCAATACTCATCAAATGCCTCCCATGTACTAAACATTTGTACTGAGTGCTAGGAATATATAGCCATGAACAGGACAGAGATAGTTCTGAGCTTATGGTCAATGTGTCAGCATCTCAAAGTGCAGCTCACACATTTATTTAATACAAAAAGCCAGTGTCCCTGTCTCCTTTTAAGACATCATAGACCTTGGGGGCACCTCATGGCTCAGTCAGTTAAGCTTCCAACTTCAGTTCAGGTCATGATCTCATGACTCATGAGTTTGAGTCCCGCATTGGGCTCTGTGCTGTCTGTGCTGACAGGTCAGAGCCTGGGGCCTGCTTCAGATTCTGTGTCTTGCTGCCCTTCCCCTGCTCATGCTCTGTCTGTGTGTGTGTCTCTCTCTCAAAGATAAACATTAGAAAAAAAAATTTTTTAAGACATCATAGGCCTGCTCTTTGGAGGGGCTCTACATCTCCATCAGTAGCTGGAATGCCTCTCTTGAGTCTTGAAAGGATAAAGTTCTGAATCTCCAAGTTTCTGGGGAATCACAGCTTGACCCCTCCTCAGACTCCCGCCACTGCAACTACTCCCAAGACTACTCAAGTTAGTTGATGTGTTTCCCTGGCAAAGATTGTATCATGAAGTCCCCACATACCTTCAAAGATCTTCTTTAACATGCACTGCTGGGAATTCTGAGTGGAGCAGACCCCCTCTCCACGAAGACATTTTCCTTGGTCATTCATGTATGAGCATGTGTGGCAATTTAATATTGGGCCTGCAAAGTTTAAGGTTAAGCCTGATGAAATTCCCTGATGGAACAGGTGTATAGCTATGAGTCACAAGGAGAGGGATGACGGGCAGCAAGTAGCCTGGATACAACACATTTCATTGCTTGGCTCTCCTGGGACATCTGAGGACCCTGTATCTGATAGAGCATAGTCTCTCTTCTGTACCAGAGGAAATTCCTTCATTCTTACTGCTTCATCTATGATTTTCATTGCTGAAGAATCCCAGATTGCTCTCTATATTACTGATGTTTACTCCATATCCCCACTGGCTTCCTGGACATTTATAATCTGATCCCCTTCTGCCATGTCTGACTCCATGGCAGCAAAGTAGAACTTTCATCACTTGACTGGCTCTCCTTTGTACTTTCCCATCATGCTGTTATCCATATGGCACAAATGGAGTAAAAACTGATTAATAAGTTATGTTAGAGTGCTCTAATGTTGCAAACTCTGTAAAGGGTGATCATTCTCCATTTTCAGCCTGACCTTTAACAATGTCACAAAGGGCATTCTTCTTGAAATGCTTCCATTTTTGCCTCTTTTACTATCTCCATTCCCAATTCCCTAGTTAAGGAAGCACAAAGAAATAGGAAGGATGTGGGCTTCAGAGTCAGGCTGACCTAAGTTTGAATCCAAGGATTGCCACTTTCTAGTGATGTGATGTTAGCCTTCCTTCTCATATTTGGAATACTGCTACTTATACAGTGGGAGGAAATATGAAGCAGTTATGTTTGTTAATATCTTGACACATCAAACTCTGGATCTTGTTTTCCTTCCTTGAACAACCCCTTTTCAGTAAGGGCTAAAAAAAATTGCAGTTGTACTCAGAACTTATTTACGGATCTAACAGACAAGGTGTGTTCATGCTTTATTTTCCATGTTCAAACGAACAAAACAGAGCCACCAGCTCCAGGGCTAGACATCCATTTACAGAGTTTGCAAAACATTCTACCATGGTTTGTTGGGGGCAGATTTAGCGTGAAGCTCATGGAGCGGAGCAGAAGTGGACCAAGGAAGAGGTGGGCATTTGTATTAATAGTTTCTTATGTAGGGTGAAATTAGAGGGACTCCTGGCATTTGGTATTTGTGTGTTTTTTTAAAGAAGGCCCTCAAAACTACTTAGCTTTCAGGGCCCCACAAAACCTGTATCCTGCCCTCCTGGTATTATTATAAAGAGCATCTTTGAGAGAGCTCTTTGTGAAGTGTTTGTGAACTAGTCTTTCTTCCATACCCTCTCCTCAAAGTTGGGTTTCTTGATGTTCTGCCTATTGCACACTGAAGTTAAGGACTGGTACTCATCCAGATGTGCCTCACCTGAAAAGGGGCCTCACCTGAAAATGTGCTTGAAGGTGGAATGCCTGAAGGCTGTTCACCCAGTAGTTTTTCACCCGAAGCTTGTTCACCTGAAGCCTGTTCACCTGAAGCTTGTTCACCTGAAGCTTGTTCACCTGAAGCCTGTTCACCTGAAGGCTTCTCACTTGAAACTTGTTCACCGGAAGGCTTTTCAGCTGAAACCTGTTCACCTGAAGTCTTTTCACCCGAAACCTGTTCAACTGAAGGCTGTTCACCTGAAGACTTGTCAATGGAAGACTGCTCACCAGAAGTCTGGTCACCTGAAGGCTTTTCACCAGAAGTCTGTTCACCTGAAGGTTGTTCACCGGAGGTGCGCTCACCTGTGGTGTGTTCACCTGATGCGTGTTCAGTTGCAGCACGCTCACCTGAAGTGTGTTCACCTGAAGTGTGCTCACTTGAAGCGTGCTCACCTGAAGCATGCTCACCTGAAGTGTGCTCACCTGAAGTACGCTCACCTGAAGTACGCTCACCTGAAGTGTGCTCACTTAAACTGCTCTCGGCTGAAGAAGTCTCATACAAAGCCTCACCACCAAATGAAGGGTTTTCAAGTGAAAAGGACCCACCTGAAAATTGCTGAACTGAAGCTTGATGATCCATAGAGCCAGGAGGCTCATCAGGCTGACCTGATGCTCCTGGGGTAGAGATGGAACAGAAGACAGATAGTGAAGGTGAGAGAAAGAATGTCTGGGATAAAGACTGCTTTTCTTATGCAGTAAGGCTAGTGTGGGATTCCTGGGTTTCCTGTGGGCCAGATCAGGCACCTGAAGATATTACAGATATTGGAGGAGCTCAGTGAATTACCCAAGAGACCATGAAAGACAGACGTGTTAATAATGAAACACAAAGAGAACAACCCTGGCATTTAATTTAAAAAAATTTTTTTTAATGTTTTATTTATTTCTAGGAGAGAGAGAGAGAGAGAGACAGCGTGAGCAGGGGAGGGTTAGAGAGAGAGGGAGACACTGAATCTGAAACAGGCTCCAGGCTCTGAGCTGGCAGTCAGCACAGAGCCCGACGCGGGGCTCGAACCCACGAACCACGAGATCATGACCTAAGCGAAAGTCGGATGCTTAACCGACTAAGCCACCCAGGCGCCCCACAACCCTGGCATTTAAAGGAAGAATTTTAAGATCCCCATTGTTAAGAAATGTATAAGGGGCCCCTTTCAACCGTGTACCCAAAGCACCTGAACGGAAAATATTGTACTCCCCCTGGCAAAGCCAGCATTAGGAAATCAAAGCACCATAATCACTCACACAACCAGAAGTCCTTCCAATGTCTCCATAGGTGAAAGACAAGACTGATGAAGATACAAAAGGGAAAGAGAAGCTAAGTAATTCTGTCTGGAATTGAACGTGGAAGATTTTAACTTTTGGAAAGGACAAATCTTAAATTAGAAATTACAAATATCTAAGGTATCCACAAACATTATCAGACAGGATTTAAGACACTTTCATTTGGCATATTCAAGTTCTTTCTCACACTCAGTCCCCAATCCATATGGTTTGGAGACTCAAAGTTGCCATCGATTATTAAGATAAAAACATTCTTTGCTTATTTATTTCTGACTTGATATTCCTTGTGACAAATACCATTTACATCCACTTCATGTAGTTGTCATGAGTTTTCAATAAGATAAGTTGTGAAGTGCCTAGCTTATTCTTTAGGTGCTCAATGTATTTTTCTCTCCTTCCCACATTACCCTGGGACTTACAAAACTCTTAACTGGTCATTATCTTCTGGCCAATTTCTTCTACCTTTAATACATTTTGCCAAGGACTATCAGACAAACATTCTTTAAGTATGACTTTCATTTTGTTGAGTGTAGCACCGAACAATTTGATTATTAGTCTTTGACTAGACTGCATAACCCAGAGGAAAGTGGGTAGTCTACTGAGTTATTAATCCTAGCCACAAGTTGAGAGGAACTACCAGATCTTTTGAGGCTGAGGTAGCCTAAGTCTCTAAAACACCCTTTTCTCTGCAAAAGTCCTGCAATAATGTATATATTCTGGGTGATTTGCAGTCCTTATAATCAATGACTTTTTGAAAGGGTAGGATTAGAATACGTTGATAAAGGAATGATTTGGTAAGGCTTTGGGGAGGTTTTTATTTGTATTTATTTAGTTTTTTTTCTTAAATAGTTTATTGTCAAGTTGGTTTCCATATAACACCCAGTGCTTATCCCAACAAGTGCCCTCCCCCATTTATTTTTACTAAAAAAATTTTTTAATGTTTATTTTTGAGAGACAGAGAGTGAGTGGGAGAGGGACAGAGAGAGAGAGAGAGAGAGAGAATGGATCTGAAGCAGGCTCCACACTCTGCACTATCAGCACAGAGCTGGATGTGGGGCTTGAACTCACATGTCACAAGATTATGACCTGAGCCAAAGTCAATGCTTAACCAGTTGAGCCATCAGGCACCCGTAGGAGGTTTTTATTTTTTAAAGTTGTTACTGAAATATCTGCTTGACTGAGTCTTCAATAGTTTTTAATTTATTTTTTCAAAATATTTTTTAGAGAGAATGAGCACAACTGGGGTAGAGGAGCAGAGGGAGAGAGAGAATCTTAAGCAGTCTCCACACTCAGCACAGAGCCCAACACACAGGCTCAATCCTATAAGCCTAGGATCATGACCTGAGCTGAAATCAAGAGTTGGACACTCAACCAACTTAACCACGCAGGTGCCCCTGATTCTTCAGTAGTTAACAGAAGTTTTAATAAAAGAGATTTCTGATACAGAAAGGAGGCTGAAAAAGCACACTAATTTCTTAGTCATTCTTACAGTTGATGACTTACTTCTTCACCACGTGGCTGGCATATACTACCATCTGATAGCTATGTATCTACATTTCTGAGTCAATTTTTGAAACTCTAAGAAAGTAAAAAAAAAAAGTCTTTGAGAACCAACATTATATAAAAGCACTTTGTCATTTAATTGACAGCTCAGAGCTCATGGCCTCTCTCTTCTCCTCTAGGAGGAATGAGGGAGCACAGCCCACCATGAATGAGGATCCTGAAAGAGGATGGATAGAAGACGGCCATGAGGGAGAGGCTCGTAAGGTCTCTGGCCTACAGCTGTGTTCTGAGATGGATTTCTAGGTACAACACATTCCCATCTCCTTGTGTCTTTCCTTGCTACATCAACTACATAAGGATCCCTTGCACTTAGTTAATTGGGACAAACCCTCATTGGACTGCCACAGAACCCTTAGACCTATCTTCTCTTCTCACAGAGCAACAGGTACAATGGAAGTAGGAATGAGACTGTGCCAAGCCAGTAGGCTTCTCTGGTGGTAAAGCCATAACTAGGAGGAACCAACTGGCTCAGGAGCTCTCAGAGATGAACCTGTTTAGCCATTCCTGATTCTGAGTCAGATTGGTTTGGGTAACTAAGATACTGGTCTTTCTTCTTCAAGGGCTAAAATACCCTGAAGAGGCTTCCCAGAGGCAATATAGGGGACTTACCTCTGGCAGATCCAACCAGATAAAGACTCATTAGTAAGAGAAACTTCTTCATCTGGATTTTGGGGACAAGAGGGACCCTGGTGTGGGGTCCCAAGATCTGTGAAGAAAACCTGTGAGCAGAAGCTCCCAATGCTAAGTTACAGCTTCTGGGAATTCTAGAACCTCAGAGACCACCTGTGTTGCCTCACAATGGGTTGAGCTTTGAGGTTCTCATGTAGGCTGTTTAGGCAGGAGGGCCTTCTAACAACCCATGGCAGGTTGTGCCGGCAAAGGCTAATTTGCCATGTGTGAGGTGGTATGTTGGGGCTCTCTCTCTGCCCTACACTTTTTTTTTTTTTAAATCTTATTACCAGAATAACATACTCTCTCTTTGAAGTAAATTTTAAAAGTTATTTACTCTCTTTTAAAAGTATTCTCGACAATGAGTTGTGATTGGCTGATTATTATCTTTTTGGCTCTTTAAATCAGCTTTTTGGGCCCTGTAGGCTGACCTCTATTGGCTTGATCACCTGGATGCTGGTTGGGTTTGGCTGCAGACTAGATTTAGCCAATGGAAAATTGGAAGGGGAAACACACACACACACACACACGCACGCATGCACACATGCACATACACATTGAGATAGAATATTTCTTCTTTTCCTGCCGCAGTTTTGACCCTAGTTGGATCTTGACATGATAAAGCTGCTGTTGCGTACCCTCTTTTCTACAGCTCCTGCTCTCAACCAGGCTGTGGTAACATGTTGGTTTTGGCAAATACATGATTTAGACACAAATAGGGATTTACAAAGGATCGTTGAGAGCTGTGCCTTGAGCTGTACTTTCTATCAGGGAGGGTAGAAGATGGCGGCAGTGAGGCATCCACCTGGTATAAAGCGAGAACTATTGGGGATTGGGTGTCCGAGATCCCCTGGCCCTCGCCTCCTGCTTCTTCCCCGTCTTCCTCCCTTGTACCACTTTGTTACATGTGCTACTGGATGCTGGGTCCAGAATAGATGTATTTATCACTCTTATAATTCTTTGTTTAATGTATGTCTCCTCCATTTGACTCTAAACTCCTCGAAAACAGAGTCCCTGTCTGTCTTGATCACTGTAGTGTCCCCACTACCTAGCAGCAGGTTTGCCACAGAATTACGTACTTAATAAATGCTTCCTGAATGAAGGAATGGATGAATTGCCTATTCTGGACTTCTCTCTGCTTCATGGAGGAAAATTTATAGAAAGCCCTTAGAGTAGGCTGGCTAAAGATTGTGGAGAAAGTTTAATCACCAGGGATCAAAAGTTTTTGTGTTGGAGGACAAAAACTAGGATTTGGGGGTCTGAGGCTGGGCTTCTATAGAGCGGAGAAATGCACTAAAGAGCATGCTGTCAATAATTCTTTTCTATCACGTGCAGAGACTGGAGAAACAGCTGGGAGACCATACTGAGTCAGAGTTTTGTTGATAGAAGCAGTGGAAATAAATAGAAAAGGAGAGGTGCTATGTATGCCACCCACTAGTTGTTTAAAGTTTGACAGCACCCTTTTTTACAATTTTCAGAACTTTCTGGAATATTGCTGCCTCACCTCTCCCGGGGAGTCACCATATTGAAAAGCAGGACTCAAAGCCTGAATGGTCTCTCCTTAAACCTCATCCTCCAACTTTTTCCTCCCTCGTTTCTTAAGGTTGGCTTTATGGGACTATATCCCCATCCCACCCAGGCTGGCTTTCCTCAGGCTCTACTTTGGAAACTTTCTCTCTATGTCCAGTGATCTGGCCCTTCAGAGCCAAACCTAAAAGTATCTGAGCATAGCATATAAGACAATATGGAGTGACAGAGAATTTGCTGTGAGTCCAGAGTGTTCTGGAGCTAAGATGTCCAGAGGTGTTCCTGTCCTTGTCTCCTCCTGGCCCAATTTCTGTTATCCTAGATGGAGCGAAGCTTTAATTTCTAATGGGCCAAAGCAAAGTGAAGAGCCTGCTAGGTCAGCCTTGGTAATGTGTGTGGTCTTCTCCCAAGGTCTTGCAGTTGGAACACAGGAGAGCCACCTATCTATGGAGAGCTGAGCTAAAAGGTTATATAACTCATGCTGAGATGACTATTTGGGCCCAAAGGGAAGATGAGCATGCCAAGAAGTCCAGAAAAGAGTAACAGGAAAGAACACAGAAGAGATGTAAGATACCATGCCTCTTTCAGTTTACCTTAAATAATGGGGGATGAGACAGATACAAGTGTGCATGTATGTACAGACTAGGCTTTATGGAGACCTAGACACAGTCTGTGACCTGAAAGGTAGTTCTGGATACACAGCAGTTCTAGCTTTTTTTTTTTTTTTTAAATCAACTTTTAATTTTTATTTTCAATTTATTTATTTATTTTTTTAAAGTAAGCTCTACACACAGCTTGGGGCTTGAACTCACAGCCATGAGGTCAAGAGTCATATGATCCACTGGTTGAGCTAGCCAGGTGCCCCAAGTTCTAGTTCTGATTATCTTGCAGTCCTTAGTTTCTTCTAGTCTTCCTGCCTATGTTCCTATAGCCCTTGTTCTATTCCTTCTATTTTGTGACTTCCACTTACTCATAACTCCTACTGATTTGGAACTTTTTTTGCTCATTGTTTCCTACTGTTTGTTACTTCTGCTTACTCATGACTTCTGTTTATTCATGGCTTATGTTGTCCCTGACTTCTGATGCATGCCTGTCCGTCCTTTGGCCCTAATATGCACTGCTGATTCTCTTTACATTCAGTGTTCAAGACATAGAATCACAGTGCTTTAACCTCTATCATCCTTTTTGCACAAAATTGTGCCAGGCTCCCCCATAGGCCTTTCATACAATTCGTGGTGGAAAGAACTGAAGGTCTAGGTGACACCTAGCATGGTCACCTATGTTAAGAAACAAAAAAAAAAAAAAGAGAGAGAGAGACCTAGAAAAGGGGTCACAGCTATGGTAACCATTCTGAAGCTTCCCAGAAGTCAGAGGGAGCACAGTAAAATTGGAAGGTATGAAGCGCTACCGCCAGTGAAAGCCATCAAGACATCTCGCCATCTGTCCCCACATTTGTTCCCTAGATCTCATCTCACTGCTCCCCTTCTCTTCCTTCATCTTCATCTTATGTCTACCCAAGCCTCACCCATACCCAACTTCTAGTTATTCTCTGAATATGCTAAGCTCTCTCCCTTTTCATAGAGCTCCTCTCCACTTTTCCTGAGGTTGTACTTCTCCATTCCATCTTCTTGATGAGAATTCTTACTTTTTACACACTCCCTAAGAAGTTTTATCTATGTCCACCACCACTTACAAATTGAGGGCTCCTTATATCTACAAGCTGCCCCACAGAGCCCTCACTCCTTAGTTCAGATCCAGATTTCCAACTACCAGCTGGACGTTTCTATCTAGGTATTCCCACGACATCTCAAACTTGACATTTGTAAGACTGAATTCATCATCTGTACACAACTCTGTTCCTGGGATCTTGTTTCAGTAATGGGCTCCTCCTTTGCCCTCTCCTCACACAATGCATCATTTTTACCTCTAACTAGTTCTTCAGTTATCCAGCCCTTCTCTACTCCCACTGACACAACCCAAGTTCAGGCTCATCTTTCCCCTGGACCACTGAAACAGCTTCTTCTTGGTCTATTGTCCTCATCAGAACTTTCCTTTGTTCTGTCACCAAAACTGACTTCTAAAACTAAAATCCTGAGCAATAAAGTTCCTCTGAACCTACTGCAGAAATCCAAGATTAGCCTTGGCTGATCTCCAGCTTTGGCTTCCATAGCCTTACAGCCCTGCCAGTTGCATGGCATGCAATAGATGGTTAGATGCAGTCCTTTCGACAACATGCATTCTTTTTTAAAAAATTTTTTTAAATGTTTATTTATTTTTGAGAGAGAGAAAGAGTGCAAGCAGGAAGGGACAGAGAGAGAGGGAGATACAGAATCTGAAGTAGGCTCCAGGTTTGAACTCACGGAGTGTGAGGTCATGACCTGAGCCGAAGTCAAATACTCAACCGACTGAGCCACCCAGGTGCCCCATGACACCATGCATTTTTGAATATGGGACAAACCTGAGGAGAGGCCCGTTCAAAGGTGGGGACATCTGCTTGGCTGTCTGTATAGATTTTCTCCTACTGTGATATATTAAATCAAATTAAGGATGGGCTATGTGATATCACTGAGAATTGCGTGAGTAAAGGGATTCAGCAATTTTTAACTTTCACTCTACCAGCTTCTTTGCATGATGGTGACTTAACCTGTGGCATGCTGGGAGCTGGCTTGAACTGGCTGATGAGAGCTGATGGTTAAAGTTCAGGAATTTTACAAGCTGCTTGTTGAACACAGATACTATTATTTTGTTCAGTGTTTATTTATTCATTTAGAGGGAAAAGCACGTGAGTGAGCACAAGCAGGGTAAGGGCAGTGAGAGAGGGAAAGAAGAATCCTGAACAGGTAACATGGGTCTCACCCATTTTTTTCCACTGCAGGAAAGACTGGGAATAGCAGCCAGGGCAGTCCCTGGCCTCAGGGAGCTTGGAAAACTGGGCCTTCTGGAAAGAGGGTCAGAAATTAGCTTCAGGGAGTAGAAAGGGAAGAATGCCCTACAGCTGGCCTAAACAGCAGACCTCCCTCCCCATCCAGAGCATTCTAGGAGTAAGACTAAGTGGGAGTCCCAGAAGAACCATTTAGTGAAAACCTTATTGGTAGAATGTGGAAAATTTGCTGAGACATGTCCATTCTTGTGCATGATGTGGAGCTGGTGCTGGGGGCCTTCTGTGCCCAAAGGAGCCATACTTCCTCTGTAGTAGGAATCCTGTCTTCTGGTACTTGCACACTAATTTAGAGGCTCTCAGATCCCATCAAGACTTGGGTTTCCTTGGCAGTGTGACAGGGTAAATGGAGTCTGTAGATCTGGGTTTTAATCTGCCACTTACCCTCTTTGTCACCTAGGACTGATTGCTTCCTTTTAGCTTTCTCATCAATAAAATGGAAATACTAGGTACCACTTGGGCCACTGTGTGAGCATCAAATGGAATAATACTGTTTGAGTATTTAGCACTAAGCCTGGCACGTAGCAAGCTCTCAATCAATACCATAGGTTGTTTTGGGGCGGGGTAGGTGACCAAACCTCCTCAGACTTCAGAATGGGGTGGGGAATGATTATACCCCTGTGGAGCAAGCCCTCCATTTCGGTGGGCTTCCTGTTCTTAAGCTGGGAGACGTCAGTGCAGAAAGGTTATGTTCATTCTGGAAATCCGTGTTTGGGTAAAGGTGGACCCGAGGGCTGCTGCACAGGTGCCTGAAGGCAAAACTATAGAACTCTTTTTCCAGATCAGTGTTTTTTTTTTTTTAATTAAATTAAATTAAATTATTTTGAGAGGGAGGAGACGGAGCATGGGGAAGAGCAGAGAGAATCCCATCCAGGCTCCTCGCTCTCAGCCCCAGCTGGGGCTTGAACTCACGAATTGGAGGATCACCACCACGACCACAACCACGACCATGACCACAACCACGAGCTGGAAGCTTGATCCACTTGAGCCACCCATGCGCCCCTCCAGATCAGTGCTTTTAAATTACATTCATCAGGGGGCGTCTGGGTGGCTCAGTCGGTTAAGCGTCCGACTTCGGATCCGGTCAAGATCTCACGGTTTGTGGGTTTGAGCCCCACGTCGGGCTCTGTGCTGACAGCCAGCTCAGAGCCTGGAGCCTGTCTTCGGTTTCTGTGCCTCCCTCTCTCTCTGACCCTCCCCTGCTCACGCTGTCTGTATCTCTCTCAGAAATAAATATTTTTTAAAAATTTAAAAAAGAATTATGTTCATCAGCGTATAAACGAACAAAAATCTCTAGTCTGTCATGCAGCCTGTCTGGAAGTTAACCCCAAGTCCGCTTTTTGGGGGGTTAGTGATTTATTTAGCAACAGTTCATCTCGGTTAAGTCAGATTTCCAAGTCTGCGCTCACACCGCATTCAGAGGAGAAGTCTTGAGTCCGGGAAATCCTGCCGTCATGCGCCCCACCCCTCTAGGCTCCTCAGCTCATCCGAACCTCACGAATTCTCGGGCTGAGTAAGGCAGACACGATTCTCCCATTAAAAGGTAGGAGAAAATGAGACCCAAAGAAGCCGCAAGAAAAGTGGCTCCGCAAGTGGGGCCAGCGGCGGTGGGCGGAGCCGCTGAGGTGGGCGGGGCCCCCGGGTGGGCGGGGAGGCCCGGGCTCCCACCGGGCGGGCGCTCCGCTCACCTCAGGGCCTGTGGAAGCGCAGCCCTCTGCTCCCGCTGGTAGCCCCTCCCCGCAGGGGTGATAAAGCCGGATACTCAGGGTCTGGGGCCTGCGGCTCTGTGCCGCCTTCAGTGGCTCCCTTGTCCTGGTCCGAGATGGGTGCGCGCCTCCTGCTACTGCTGGGCCTCTCCTTGCTGCTGGGTGTCCTGCAAGGTGAACCGGTGCGGGGCTTCTGGAAGGACCCTGGGGACGGGGCTAGCTGCTCTGTGGGTTGGTCGGGCCAGGGGAAGGTGACGACCTAACCTCAACCTCAGGGGCGGGCGCCGCCTTCACTCCCTCGTCCCACTGTTTCTCCCTCTCTGCCTTCCCTCTCCGATGCTTCCTCCACTTTTGTCACGGCTTTTTCCTTTCTCCTTTCACCTCTTCCCAATTTTACTTTGCCTCCTTCCCACCTCAGTTCTAATCCGATACTCCCCAGTTCCTCAGGGCTTTCTTGCTGAGAGCCCTACGTTTGAGTAAAAGGGAGCAGAGAAGGTTCTTTGTGGGTCGTGAAGGCAGTGGGAGCTGTCGGGAAGGATGGGGAAGATGGTCACTGGCCACATGAGAGGGGTTGGTGGAGCTGCGGTGTAGGACTTGACCCTCAGCACAGTCCCTCCCTGGGAGTAGAAGGGGACCCTGACTGTACTCACATGTGCCTCCTCCCAGGTGTGCGCCAAGCACCCAGAAATCCCCTGCTTTCAGCCACTGTCCAGGCTGCCAGTGACCCAGAGGGTGTGCTCCCTGCTGATCTGCCCAAAGGCAGGGGGAGGCAGAGTCTCATTAAGCCGGTTTGGGTTTGACTTTCCAGCTCTACCATGTTTCCAGTGTTCGCGAGTCAATGCGAGCGGGGTTTGCGAGACTGGGGAAAGTGTCTGCGAGACTCAAGACAGCCAGCAGTGTTTCCTGAGGAAGGTCTATGAAGGTAGGTGGGTCCCGAGAAGTCACCTGGGTGACCCTTGCCTGACCCTGTGGGAAGTGGCTTTCAGGAGCCCTGGGGACAAAAGCAGAGAGTTCAGCAAGGATTTTTTTCTTAAAATGTTGGAAGAGGGTCCTGGATCTGGTACTGGGCTGTCACTAGCCCTTGACTGGACCAGCAGACCTATTAGAAGAAAAAGTGCCTGTTGAGGGGTCCCTGGGTCCTTGGAGAGTTCCCATGCTACTCAGGGGTAGGAGGGACTAGCTAAGAAAACTCCAGTGGGACTTGTGTGTGGTAGTGCCTTTGGGAAATGGATTAGTTCAGGCGAGGTAAGGGGTTGGGGGAAGATGACCCACTAGGGGCTCACCTCTGTCTTTGCAGGGTGGCTGATGTCCCTTGTTACCTGGCAGCCCGACTCCTTAGGATTGTGTGCTGTCTCTCCTTTTTCGGTGAACCCCCCATTCTTCCAACACATGTTTATTGTTTACCTCTTATATGGCAAACACTTTTGAACTTGGAGGTCACAAATCAAGAGGTCCTCTTCTCTTGTCTTCCTCTCCAGATGACAGGCTCCTGTACGGATACCAGGGCTGTGGGGACCTGTGCCTCTCCATGTCTTTCTTCAGACAAAATGTTCGAGTGGATTTTGTATGCTGCAATGACATACCTTTCTGTAACAGATTCTAGAGACTTGACCCTTCCCAGTTATTCATTTAGCCCTTTTTTATACCCCCACAGCCTCAGAGGACGGGCCATCTTTCCCCAGCATGTCCAAGCCCTGAAGCCTGTTCCTGCTAAGTTTCCGGTGGTGATGTTTCCCCAGCTTACCCCACCAGATCGATGCTTTCTGCTTCCCATCACCCCTTCTGCTCCTTTTCTCAGATTCCTGTCTGCCCCCCTTTCTCTCCCTGTACCTACATCCCTCCTTGCTTCCCCTGTCATTGGCTGGCATGTAACAAGCTCTCCCATCTCCCTCTTTTCCTTCCTTGGACAAATATTTTCTGACGGCTGAGCCCTGTAACTAGATGCTGAATAGAGAACAGTGAATAAAACAGACCTGATCTCTGTCCTCAGTCAATGTGCCTTCATTTTAGTGGCTCCTTTTCTGTCAGGTTGACCAGGGTCACAATATCTTGCCTGCCTCTTATTCATAGAACTTAAGCCTGGAAGGGACTCCTTCACCAGTCCCTCCACTACACACGTGCACATACACACACACACACACACACTCTCTCTCTCTCTGCTTCTCTTTCCCTCGGTCTTTCCCCCTTTCCACTGTATAGCTTTTTCTGAATAAATCTTGCATCTTGGTGTTGTTTAGAATTTTTGTTTTTATGTTTAAATTATAAGAATAAATATTCAGTTTAGGAAAAATATAAAATAGTGACCCAAATAGACATCACTAGCAATCCCATCCTACCATGCAGAGACATACCTTGTTTTAGGGCTTATGGTATACATCCTTGATTTATCACATTTATTTAAAGTGACTTTTTCTCCTGCTGTCTTCAATTCACTCTCTATCATTGGTTTTAAGCAGTTTGATGTTTGTGCTGATGTTGTTTTCAGTGTTCATCTGTTAGAGATTCTTTCAGCTTCCTTGGGTCTGTGTTTTGATGCTTTTCATTATTTTTGGGAAATGTTGCCTGTTGTGATTTTAAGTATATATTCCATCTCATTTTCTGTTTCTTCTCTTTGTGGGAAACTAATGGAATATGTTAGAATGCTTGGTATTATCCCTCAGCTCTTGGATGCTGTGTGCTGGCTTGTTACTGTTATTATTTATTATTTTATTATAGCTACTCATGCTTTAGTCTAATTTCTGTTGCCCAGTCTTCAGGTTCACTGATTTTTTCCCTCCATTGTATTCAATCTACTGCTGAGCTCATGACAGAAATTCTTTACCTCTGACAGAAATTCTTTACCTCTGACATTGTGTCATTTTATTTCTAACATCTCCATTTGACTCTTTCCTAGAGATTCCGTTTCTTCTTTCAAATTGTTCATCTGTTCATGCATCCTAGCTTTTCCATTTAAACTAACATTATAGTTAATGTTCCTGATTAATAGTTCCAACAGTGGGCCATTGCACAGTTCAGTTATGATAGTTACTTTATCTCTTGACAAAGGGCTGGGCTTTTTTTTTTTTCTTTTTTGTGTCTATAATTTTTATTTTATTTTTATGTTTATTTTTGAGCAAGAAAGAGAGACACAGATCATGAGCAGGGGAGAAGCAGAAAGAGAGGGAGACACAGAATCTGAAACAGACTCCAGCCTCTAAGCTGTTAGCCCAGAGCCCAATATGGGGCTCAAACCCACAAACTGTGATGGGGCACCTGGGTGGCTTAGTCGATTAAGTGTCCAACTTTGGTTCAGGTCATGATCTCACAGTTCGTGGGTTTGGGCCCCGTGTTGGGCTCTGTGCTGACAGCTCAGAGCCTGGAGCCTGCTTCAGATTCTGTTATCTCCCTCTCTTTCTGATCCTCCCCTGCTCACGCTGCCTCTCTCTTTCTCTTTCTCTCTCAGAAAAAAGAAAAACAAAACAAAACAAAAAAAAAAAACCAACCCACAAACTGTGAGATCATGACCTGAGCCGAAGTTGGATGCTTAACCAACCGAGCCACCCAATGCCCCTATGTTTGTAATTTTTAAATCAAATGTTTGACACTGGGGGTAGAATTGTAGAGCATAAGTTAAATAGTATTGACACCTAGAAATGGACATGCTTATTTTTATAAATTTTCAAAGTTCATTTATTTATTTATTTTGAGAGGGAGAGAAAGAGAGAGAGAGAGAGAATGAGTGAGGGAGGGACAGAGAGAGAATCCCAACTAGGCTGAGTGCAGAGCCCAACATGAATCATGAGATCATGACCTGAGCCGAAATCAAGAAATCAAGAGTCAGAGGCTTAACCAACTGAGCCACCCAGGCACCCCCATGCTTCTTCCTGAGTGAGGTGGTCATTGTGAGGGGCTGAGGCAATCTAGTCAGAAATTGTGATAGGTGACGTTTTACTGTTGCTCTTGTTACTTTCCAGTTGTCACAGGCTTCAAACTTCTCCAGTGACGGCATGTTGTCTTCTTGTGTCAGGGAGGGTTTCCCTTTGTGCCCATGTCCTCTGCCAGTGATTAGACATCCCCGCATTCCTGCACAACCAGGTCTCTCCCTGAGCTTATACTCTTCTGTGGCGGAGGAAAAACAATTTCCCCCTACCCATCTGGATTCTTGGCTAAGACTTCCCTGTAAGAAAAGATGAAAGAAAAACAAGTTAGTAAAATCCATGCCTCTTGTATACGTAGGAGATTCCCAGGAACACTGAGTGACTCTTCTTCAAACTGGCTCTAGCCACCACCCTAGATACCATCCCCAACTAAAGACAAAAAGAGACATTGCAGGTAGAGAGGGCGGCAGGTACAGAGGTTACCAGGAAAAGCATAATCAACGAGGGTAAGGTTGTTGTACACATTTAAGTCATTGCCTTCTCTACCAGAAGACATTCTAGAGATTTTAGTCAACTTCTTGCTGGTACAGAGAGGGGACCCACTTACAAATGGAAATTTCCCATATAATATGTACATACTCAATCTTCAGAGCTTTTTCTATGTCTGCTGTGACTTAAAAATAACCAGCTTAAAACAACCTTTATTCCAAAGATACTTACTTTGGGGTGTCATATTCTGCTCCCCTTCACTCCTCTCTCAGCATGATAGTGCTGCCCCTGGTCGTTCAGTGCTGAGCTTGTGGCTGCAACATAGGGATTCTCTGTTATCCTGCTTCATTTGCAATCTGAGGCTATCTCAGAATTCCCTGGGCCACTTTCAGCATGCCTGCCCCTCCTTTCGGTGGTTTTCTGTCTTGTTCTAGGGCTAGTATTAGGAGATAGCTTTTGGCCTTCTCAAAGAAGCAAAGATTTAAAAAAATTTTTTTTTACTGTTCATTTATTTTTGAGAGAGAGAAGCAGGAGGAGCAGAGAGAGAAGGAGACACAGAATCCGAAACAGGCTCTAGGCTCCAACCTGTCAGCACAGACCCCGACGCGGGGCTCAAACTCATGAACCTCGAGATCATGACCTGAGCCAAAGTCATGACCTGAGCAGAGGCTCAACTGACTGAGCCACCCAGGTGCCCCAGAAGCAAAGATTTTTTAGAATTTTTATTTTACTTATCCTTATCCCAGCCACTATAGGACTTTGTGTCCTATGGTCAGGATTTTCTGCCCTTCTCCCAGAAATTTAAAGCATTTGCTTTAGAGAAAAAAAGGTCAAAGAAAGTAAGTGAGGCTGTATGTCTTTTTTTAGCAGCTGCTGATCAGGTCTTGCAAGTCTGCAAGGCTGTGGGGTAGAGGGTGGGTCTGCTTCGGTTTTGCCTTGCTTCTTCTCATCTTTTTCATTAGTACTGGGTAGATATCTCCGGAATAGAGGTTGTAAACAAGTACAAAACACTATTAGGTCTGAGGCCCTCATTTATTTCCAACTGACACTCAAGTCCTCACTTGGTTCTTAATGCTTGTTAAAACCTTAGCTAGTCAGCTCTTATGCCTTCTTCCTTCCTTCCTTCCTTCCTTCCTTCCTTCCTTCCTTCCTTCCTTCCTTCCTTCCTTCCTTCCTTCCTCTCTTTCTCTTTCTCTCTCTCTTTCTTTCTTCTTTGAGAGAGAGAGAGAGATGATGAGAGCATGGGCTAGGGAGGGGAAGAGGGAAAGGGAGAGAGAATCTTAAGCAGGCTCCACACCCAACGCAGAGCTCGATCTCATGACTGTGAGATCATGACCTGAGCTGAAATCTATAGAGTTGGATGACCAACTGACTGAGCCATCAAGTGCCCCTCTTTTTATGTTTTACTGGGCTTTTATGGAGGCTACTTCTTTCCTCTGTGCTCTGCCATAGATAAGCCAGCTTGTGTGTCTACTCAGATCTAAATCAGTCCGTTCTTAAATTAAAATTGGCCCTTAAAAACGTTTTTTGAGGCTTTTTTAGGGGTCTTATTCTGGATCCTTTCTGGTCTCCATAAGCAAATTGACTAAGAACTATTTTATTCAAATGATTCTTCTAGACTGCTAATTTTATGATTTTTGAAGAGCTCAAGCTCCAAGGCCAAAGTCAGCTCAGTCCTAAGAGATTCATTTCTTTGAAGTCTCACCCTGACTCTGTCTACAAAGGATCCAGTCCAGAGGATTCTCCCAGTTCATAATGTTTGCCCCCCTGGATTATGAGGGATTGAGAGATGAACCTCTGGACATGAGAGACTACTGCCTATGCAGTGGTTCTTTTGAGAAAAGGAAACAAATATTAACACAAATATTAAGTACACAGTGACAAAATCTCACTGTGGGAGTACAGGGAAAAACCACCATAGTTTCTCGCTGGGTGAGTCAGCCCTTCACATGGAAGATGGGACCCATACTCCTCCAGCATCCTGTTATCTTGGTGGTATAGAAGCCAAAAGCCAGTTGCCCCAAGGTGTGCCACTCTGGGATGCAGATTACTTTGAGCTGAAAACAAGGCCCAAAATACTCAGGAAGAAATTTTGACTTTCCTTCTAAGTGCCTAAAAATAATTTAGATAGAACACTTGTTCCAAGAAGAAAGCTACCGCCATAGATAATTACATTATAATATGAACTAGGAATAGTAGACAGGGAGGAATTTAGCAAAGTCTGTTTGTTAAAATTCCTCTCTGCATCCCATTGTTTCTGTATGGCCCAGCAAACATTTGTCACTAAAACATTTACTCTTTCTCGGCTTCCTGTGAATTGCTTTCCTTCCCTTTGAAGTCCCAGACCCCCACCTCCTTGCCTTTAGTTCAGGATAATGTAAATATGTCATTGTGCCTAACTATCTTCGGAATCTCATGTTTATGTGAATTCCCCATATGTACATAAGTAAATTTGAGTTTTTGCCCTGTTAATTTGTCTCATGTCAACTTAATTCTTAGTCCACCTATAAGAACCTTGAAGGACATAAGGAAAATTTTTCCCAACAGTACATTTGGGAGAAGGGGCTCTGCAATGTGAAATATTTATGATTAGCAGAATGGGTGAGAAGTTCCGAAATAACGAAAAGACCAGCTACGTGACCT